TTAGTTGAGACTGAATCGTATGCCTTCCTCATGTCTTGGAATACCAACCATAGCTCTTTATTGTTCTCTTTCGCATCTTCTCTTAGCATTTCCAGAACATGAATTGCATCTTCTGTCGAACAACCAGGCAACCCTGCGTAATTCGGCCCTTTCAGTATTTCGTGCTCAACAACTATTTCTGCTACCCTCTTGGTTAGAATCTTTGTTACGCACTTTCTAAAGGTCTCAAGAAGAGCGATTGGCCTCACGTTGCATAGTTGGTAACCCCAATCTTCGCTTTTTGGGATAGGGTAGATCTGTACTAATTTCCACTTTGTGGGGATCTTGCTAGTTTTTAAACATGAGTTTGCAAATTTTCTAAACAACTCATGGACTGAGGTACTCGCGTTTTTGATTAGGCAGTAACCGATTCCCGTAGCCCCAGGTGCTGTTTGGTTCTTTGTTCCATTTACTGCAGCTAACCACTCCTCGAGAGTAATTTCTTCACCTAAGCTCTTATACCACTCTTCTTTAACTTCTTTTAAGGGTGTATAGAATTCATCTTTGATATTATTCTCCATCCCGATCTTTCTCTCCTTGAACTGTTCTTCAAAATGCTTGCGAGTCTTATCTAGGACTATATCTGGCTCGGTATGGAGTATATGCTTCTTAGTATCTACCTCAAGTACTCTGTCAATTCTAATTTTGTTGGTTGGCTTATCTAGTATACTTGCTAGCATTCTGCTTACATCGCCATCTATTCTTTCACATCGAGCGCTTATCGCTTTACTTATTACCTCTCTCACCTGCTTATCATCTTTAAGCCTTTCTTGCAATCTCATAGCTTTCAAACCATGCTTGGCTACTTGCACCCACTCAGTTAATACGGTCTCATCAACATGCCTAATCTGCTCTATATTGGTACCTTGTTCTGCGTTTATTTTGTCTATTGCTTTATTTGTGTCATTTACCCTCACCAGAGCCGTTCTTGTATCTAGTACCTTCTTGACTGACTGTATTATCTTGCTAAGTGCCACAATAGATTTGTGTAGAGCTGAGGTCTTGCGCTTGCATTTCATATAGAAGGTATCATTTGTCACTTTCTTTCTTGGTATGTTTTTGTTTGCTGCATATCGAATTGCTTCTGATATAATATCCCATATTCTATCTATATTAGTGTCAAAACCTGTCTGTCGCAGCTTATCTAGCCTAT